AAAAAAAAAAAAGTGAGTTGAAAACATTTATTAATCAAAAACAGAGCTAGTGCAAAACAGCAAGTGCTCACTAAGAATTTGTTCTAAAACATGTCATCCACAAAGGTCACATGCCAGGTATGAGAAATCAAAGTGTTGTGAAAAGAATAAGCAAGCAGCAACAGATTTTAAACTACTATACTCCACACAAGTCACCAAATGGAAGCAATCTATTCCTTACAAAACTGGCACAGTGAACAACAAAATGAAGCTATTCAACTTCAATTACAGGTAGACGCAAGCTGTGAACTGGCAATAATGAAAAGCACTGTCATGTATTAGTTAATTTTGTAATGGAAAAAAAGAGATAGAAGAGTAAGTTCTGAGAGTTCCAGAAAAGTTTATGCAAATAGAGTTAAGTGATGGATGAAGTGAATGGAAAAAAAAAGGGGACAGAACATAGAAGGGACAAAAAAAGCATTCATATGCTAACTCATATTGATGCAAAGACCGTGTGCAAAGAGGTGTTGGGGGGGGGTGTGTATAAATATATACATACACACACAAACATATATATATATATATTTGCACACAAGTTAACAACAGGTACACATGCATAAACACAGCTAAAAACCAGATGCAAGTCCAAAACACACTCCTGCCTTGGAGCAGACACAAACATCCCTTTATAATTGCTGGCTGCTATGTACACATTCAAGCACAGACACCAACAGGAAGTAAATAATAGAGAGTTCATTTACAACAGCTTAATTCTGGTAATTTACCTCCTGCTAGCTTTTAGCTATTACTTCTACCACTGAGAATTCAAACTTTCACGTTAACACAATCCTTTTTCTGACATTTTAAGCTCCCTATGTAACTTTGCAAACTCTATTATAATCTTATAAAACCAAGACCGTAAGTACTGCTTTGTTTTACCTTTCTTCCTTGCTTTGACGGCCTCTTCCCATAATCTCAAGGTCTCTACCTGCTTTCCAGGCCAACTTGTTACATGTTGCTGCTGTTGCTGCTGCTGTTGCTGCTGCTGCTGCTGCTGCTTCTGATTGCTGGTCTCTTCACTCATGCACGCTATGCCAATTAAGTAAGAACACAAATTCACCTTGAAAAGTCACACTGTTTTCTACTGAGATGACAAAGGGTTCTTCCAAAAAGACTATGTGGAATCTTGCAGGATTCCAAGAGTGAAAATCACCGAGGTGTTTAAAACCATATAATTAATTTTGTGTTTTATAAAAAAAAAAATGCAGAGTCAGGAACTTCTAGTTTCTCTCCAAAAACACAAACCTCCTTTCTAATTGTTTGTTTGTATTTTAGGAAGACTGAAGTAAAAGATTACAATGACTCGCTAGAACTCAAGAGGGTTAGCCAACTCCAGTTTTCCTAAACCTCAGTTCCAGTTTTTAAAAAGAGCCTTTTAACTTTTCATTGCAAGTATGGCAACGTTTTCAGTTCACCTTTATCTCACAGAACAGCATGTTACTACTCGCCGGCCACACTACAGCTCATCATTTTCACCTCTACCAACTGCTGTAACGCCTCACATGAACTGCTTAGCACCACCGAACTGACAGAGCTGTAACCCTATACCTTGAAAAATATCTCACATCAAAATTTCACATTAAGTTCAACTATCAGGCATTTTAGATATTCACGGTACCTTTAAATTATCCAGGAGCAACATGAGCTGAAAAGATTTTGTAAATTAATACTGTTTAAAAGGCTTCAAGGACAAAGTTTCTAAAGACATTCATTTTTTCTCCCTTTTGATTCCTCTGAATACCCCATCATACATCACTAACCAGGTATGCTAAAGTTTTTAACATACTTTTAAATATTTTATATATTTTTAAATATATAAAATATTTTTAAATATTTTAAAATAAAGTATTCCTTTGCTTACTAGGCACTCCAAATTTCAGGCTTCAGCACTTCTGCTGCATCAATTCAGAGAGTTTAAGAAAAGAAAGAACAATTACAAATATCTCATCTGAAGTCCTGCACAACACAACTCAAATACCATTAATGCCCAAAACACATCAGGGCTGATTTAAATGCTTTTCCTGTCAGCTACTGGCACAGAAAACCATTGAGCCCTGGAGTTAAAGCTCAGAAAACGCTCAGAAACCTTGATCTTTCCACTTTGATGAGCTTTGGACCAGGCTTCAAACCTGAAACTTGGCAGATCTTAGAAGTTCTCAAATATTCTAAAATCTACAGAATTACTTGTTAAACTTTTAAGTTTTACAGTTCAGGAAGCAGTATTGTACGTAGAAGCTGAGAAAACTCTCTTCTTCAAGAGATGAGTTATTCTCACATATTGCAGGGTATTCCTCTAAGAGATAAGAGCACAGTCCAGTACCAAACCAATTCCACATAGGCCAATTTCTTGAGCTACAGATCCTGTTATCAAATATTTACTTTTAATAGGCGTGAATACCCAAAGCGATGGCTGTGTTTTTATATTTTAAAGTAACCACAGGCAACTCCCTTTGCAAACTTTTGCAAACACACTGTTATTAGAAATGTTTTTAAAACGTTCACCTACTTTTATTGATGCCTTGTTTACAGGTATTACAGTTGATACTTTGGCTCTGCCCGTGTGTCTTTAAGTGGCTGGTGATATATGCTGCACTCAGAAGTTTACCACAGATATTACACGATACCTTTCCTTCATGGCGCACCATGTGTGTCCGCAGTCTGTCTTTGGTGGCAAAGGCAGCAGTGCACGTCTACATGAAGGACAACAGTGATATTTAAAGTGCAGACAGTATTACAATACAAATTGCATGACCATCTTAGGCCTATTTTACCCTTTAGGCACCACCGGTATCCTAAGGCTAATGAAAACCTTAAGTTTCACTTATATTTACAGAAAAAACAAAATCCAGCTGCTGGACAGAGACTGAACATTATCTAGCTGCTTAATGGAAGTGGTCTTCTGACACCAGCAGGACAAAAATCATACTTTATACTACTTGAGCTTTCTTAAAACAGAAGGTTGCCTTACATACCAAAGCAAGAGGTAGCTTATAAACAAACACGTAAAACCGGTAAAGGTAGTATCTGACATAATTTTACGGCACAAATCTGAACTTTGTATTTTGAATTGCTCAGTTATTGCTATTTCCATCCAAATCAGAAAAAGGAAACAAAACCTTTTTCTATGACTAGTCTCTTCACTCAAAACAGTCACTTAATATGGTGAGTCACTAAAACACAGGTTGGAACAAGGGTGGATATTCCAAGAAAAACAGTTAATTGTTCAAAAGCAGTCAAATTATTTCTCTGGTATTAAATCCTCAACTTACGACACCTTGCTTTCAACTTCCAGTCAAACAATGGATCCAGAATCAACTATTCCAATACTTTTTTTCAGATTTTTTTCTGACTTCTAATAGATACAACATTGATTTATAAACGCTGAGAAAACCCATTGCACTTGTTACTCCAGCAATCAGTACTGAGTTGAGGACACTGTTACGATCCCACTACTACATTAAGCATATCTTAAAACAGTGTACCTACATCGCTCTCCAAGAAGGCAAAAACCCTCCAATTTTCCCAGAAGAGTAATCAAAGCAGCCTCTTAAGCTGCCTCTACGCTTGCATCAGAATCACAGCGCAACTGATAAGTAATACAGATGAGACCTTATTCCAAAGCTTGCGTTCCAAAGTAAAGTCCAGCAATTCTGGGAAGATTATCCATCTGATGTTTTCTAACTACAAAATCATGTATGCTCTTAATAAATCATCTGAGCCCTTACTTGGCATTTGAAGGGTCTCTCTGTTGAGTGAACGTGTTTAACGTGACAGCTTAAATGATCAGGCCTGCAAAAGAAGAGAGGAACAGAAAAGAAAACGCATACTGTTACAAACATGTAGTAGTGACACCTTGGCTAACAGTGTCGACCACTGCACTGATGACCCTCCGCAGCCCACAATCCCCCTGCGGGCAAGAATAAGTACGTCCCCCTTACCTATAACGTGGCTTTTGGCTAGAGTAACACAACATAGTTACACTGAGACCCAATCTGCAGTTTAAAACTTAACCATGTTCTTCTTACACACCTGAAAACGGTACATGTGTTTGTACCTTGTGTAAAGGGTGACAAATCAACAGCTCTAGCAGTTGAAGTTTTCTCTGTTCCAAGCACAGACATAAATACAGCCAGCAGCAATGCAAGCTTCCCCACAGTGCTCTGTCAGTACGCCTCAGCCTTGTTACGGGACACGGAGACAGGTTGCCCGCCATGCCCCATTCGGTCATTGACCTTTCCAAAGGCTGGGAAAGGGGCTCCGTTATCACCATCAGTGACACAGGCACGTGTCCTACCGGACCTGGACGAGGTCCTGAAATCATTTCAGAACGTTGTCATAAGACAGGGACCACTTTGGGTCACTGCCCAACTGGCTCAGATTGAGACCCACGCCCTAGAGGTAAACAAGGCTCTTTATCCCCTCACCAATCTTCTAAGATGTCTGCTTCTCCTAGCCCCTTGCTATGATAGCTTAACCCTTCTTGGTTATGAAAAGCCAATACTTGAGCTCGCCTGGGATTTTCTACATGGTACCTCGAGAAGCCTTTTCCACAAACACCACAGGTGTATGGTTTCGTGATGCCACCTTCATGAGACCTCACATGGTAGGTCATGCGATCCTTTCTCTTGAAGCGCTGATTGCAAATTGGACATTCAAAGGGTTTTTCATCTGAGTGGGACAGCTTGTGCCGGTTGAGGTGATACACATCCCTGAAGGCCTTTCCACACATCTCACAAGCATGGTTCTTCTTAACGGGCTTGCTGGGCTTCTTCACGGTCTGAGTCACTGCCATAGCCGTTGCACCGGCACTACTGCTGGGGTTGGTGGCAGAGGAAGACGTAGTGACTGTGGAAAGGATGCCTGCGATAGTCGAAACCAATGAACTTCGGCTGTTGTCACCAGCGATGGTCGAGATAAGGGGCACCATTGTGGTGGGAGTTTTCTTTGGCCGTGACACTAACTTTATCCCTGTGTGGCAGGACTCGTGACGCCTCAAATGGTAGCTGTCCCTGAAAGCTTTGCTGCAGTAAGTGCACACAAAGGAGGTTTTAGGTTTTTCCTTTTTAATCCCAACAATAGCATCCTTTAACGTTTCTGGTGCAGGCTGAGGTTTCTGCGTTATTGGTAAGGGCAGAATCGGCTTCTGATCGGGTGGCTCAACAGCAGAGCTCAGGAGAGGCAACAAACTGTTCTGTGCTGCCTGCTGTTGGTGATGTGAGGCTTCGTGTGCCTAAAACCAAACATTCACACTTAAATTCTATTGATGGGTGCTCACTTTGACACGGTGAGAACATTTACAAACTACGGAAAGCAAATTCTAGACCAAAATCCATTGAAGAAACAAGGGAAAAAGGTTACATAATTTTATTTTTGGACAGGATAAGCCACTTGCACTGTAAACACATACTCTGTGCAGACTCTGCGGTGAATAAGTGTAGGAAGGCACACATCGTAACTATCAAACAATTATTAAGTTTCTGGAGGGCAACATTTCTTATGGAAAACAACTAGGTGCTTGTCAGATCTCTTGCTAACACATTGTTTGATCTTTACATAACAGATACTTGTTTTGCATCATATCAGATACCGCATTCGGACTATCTTTGGAGCTTATGAATGTACTGATGGGAGTAGCAAAACAACGCTCCACCTTCAAACTTAAGCTGAGTTTAGTGCATGTGGAGAATTAAACTGCAGCCACGGAGAGCCAGGATGCAATAAGCCATCTTATTTAAACAAGGTGTTCATACCAGTATGTTAGCGCTGAAATCATACCAAAGCAGCTCGGATCAAGCGCTGTTTAAAGCTAGAGTTCTATATTTAGCAGGCTCCCGCTGCATTTACATAGCGATCACTGTGCTCGTTGCGTCTGGAAACTAGTAAGAGGCGGCACGCTCTTCTTCTCTGCACTGGAACTATGTTGTGATAGGAAGAGAAGTCAGTCAATAAGCACCGGCAGACATCTAGAAATTCTGGAGAACACAGTGTAAAGGAGAAGGGGCAGGGGAAGACCTCAAAGCTGCTTTAAAGCAGCAAACACCAGAGGACACTAAACTACCGTGGGAGACGCTAAGGGGAAGCAAGGGGGGCAGAGGGAGCCCCCCTGCCAGCGTACCACAGCTAACATCCCTCAACCAAGCTGTGGCCTCCACTGCTACAGGCTGCTCTAGTCCATACTTACACACGTGTATTAAACATTGTTGTGGAAAACCATCCAGTTAGACTGGGACAAAAGCCTAGCAGATACAAATTTAAAGTGGTTTAGAAACCACACAGACCAATTCAGTCTAATAGAGCATTAAAATAAATCACTAGCACCTTAAGCCAGTTTAAGCGCATCTGTATGCGAGATGTGCCTCGGTCTCATCAGACCAGTTTTAAATTAGTCTAGCAACTAACGCAGCAACCCCAGGTCTGAAGCTGAGTTCGGGAGAACTTGCATTCACATTAAATCAGTATTACAGCCTTCCAGGATTTCTCCTCTACGTTTTCCTTCCCAAAAAACCACGCACTTCATTTCAGTACTTGAGGCTGTGAGAGCTGAACAAAACACCATGCTGTGTGCAATCTCCTGCATGTCTACTTCTATTTCGGTTGCAGATGGACGGTTTTATCAAGCATACTCAAACTAACGTCTTTTCCATGTCAATTTTGTCAAGCCTTTTCGAGAGGTCAGTATTTCTCAAAGGACACTTTGGGACTTTTTCTTAGAAACATCCAAGCTCAAGTCACTTTGCCTCTAAGTATACACAGTATCGGAAGCAGTGACTACAGTGCATCCAACTAATGGTTTAAAGACCTTAATGCAGCTCTTCGTTCTAGGTGGCTGCGTTCCTGCTTTCTCTTGCTACATGTACAAACCTTGCATCATTGCGGCCACTCATTTTTCAAGAGTGCAACGCTGATCCTTGGGTATGAGCCACCAGCCGGATGCAAACGCTAACCCACGTGGATATGAAAACGTGCTCCTCAACACTCTAACCCTATCTGACACGAAAATAGTTCATGGGAGAAAGCCTGGATTAAGTACGGCTAAAATGCAACAAAATTTGCCCGAATCATTAAGAGATAGGACAGTTTGTCCATTTTGGGCTATGCTCTGCATCCTATCTAGGCAAGGATGCTTTGGGTGCAACAGCACGCCAAACGCTGACACACTAAGCCTAGGCACAGCAGGTACCTCAAGCAACAGCCTAAGGACCTATTTTGCAGAACTGATTGCTAAACAGTCAAATGCAGAACTGTCCTGGAGCCTGAACTGCTAAATCAGTGTGTGGCACAAGGTTCATCTTTTCCATTAATTTTTTGCCTGACTTAAGTGACAACTGTGGATTTTCAACCATTTATTTCCCATATTAAAAAAAAAAGGTTGTGACATCTACATTGCATAAAGAGAACAAAATATGCACAATACACATCAAAAGCACAATATTAAGCAAGTTATGTACTTAAAAATACAATTTTAATTTTAAAAAATTTGGAAGTGTTTTACAGCCAACTTTAAATAAGCATTAAACAATGTTGTTAACTGGCATCAGAAGACACTTGAGAGCACCTAAGGATAGCTCAAGATATACAATTTCAAAGGCACAGCTAGCAGATCGGATAATAGGGAGCCCAAATCCTTTGGACAAGGTTCAAACTTACGCAGTTTAAGGATATTTTTAAGCCTTAAAGAATCATTAGCACTTCAAGATAATAACGTAGTATTCCTATTGAACTAATACATATGTTGGACATAAAGCTACATGTCTGCTTATCTTAGTTCCCAGATATCCAGTGTTATTAGCAGTGCTGTCTTCCTAACAAAACCTTTTCGCAACAAGCAGTATTCCTCAGTTTCCAAGGATTGCTTGCATTAAAGCCTTTTAAAGTAGGATCGGGCAGTATTTTTTTTTAACTTGCTGCTGGAGAGGGGAACACAGCACCTGCTGCATGCCTTTTGCAAGTCATTTTTATTCAGTCACAGAACACTGTTTTACTTGACCTAGCATTAATGTCAAGTCAACATTTTTGTGGTATTTGGATTGCCTGGGACAGGCTCCCATGCGAAATACCCTAATTTTATCGTGAACACCTTTCTTTCTAGGGGGATAGTAAGGAAGGAAGAAAAAAAAAAAAAAAACTAATTCATGACCCAGACTGGTAGGATGTGGCATTGTGAACTTCCAATGCCAGAGGCTAAAAGATTTTTGCACTCAAGCCTTAATGTGAGAGCAACAAATTAGCATGAGTCATATCTTGAATGCTCTGTTTGATGGATGATTTCTCCTAACATTAACAGATAAAACTTTCACCTTCCAAGCAGATACTAAAAGTGGCTTTCAAAACATGCATTTCAGGGCACTAATAAAATCCAAACCAAGAACTGCTTACTCAAAATATAGTAATCATTTTTTAAATTAAGAAATACAATTCATCAAAATACCACCTAAACACAAGCAAATAACTTTATTTGGAAAGAGCAATGAACAGTTACTGTACATATCCAATTGCTGTTAAGACTAAAATTAAGACATGGAATCCTTTTCTAAAAAGAATTATCCAAAAATTACAATTTTACACACCAAGTATTAAAACTTCCCTTAGAAAAGCTGTCACAGCTGAAAACACATAAGTAAAAGAACACCCCCAGAAAGAATTAATGTCCACATTCAACCACTCGCACTTGTTATTTAACTGCTACTGGTGGGAAAGGGCCTTTATTAAAAACTAATAACAAAAAGTGGATCTTAATCTCTTGGGTTTCAATTTAGATGATGTTGGTGAGGACAGAGAGAAGAAAAGCTGAGCTAAGGCATCATCAAGAATATCTTAATAAAGCTTTCTCGTAGGTGCATTAGGATGCTCATACCCTAAATCGTTGGTTTTAATGAAATGACTCAAGAAACAATATTCAATATTCATTATGAGGTCTTAAAGCTTTATTATTTGGAAAAAAAAAATCAGGAAAATTTCCAAGTCACAGTTTGATAAAGATGCTTTGAAGTTGCACCTAACTAAATAGGTTAGGAAAGTGAACTGCTGGCTCCTTAATTAAAAGCAGTAAAACCTACTACTAAATTGAAGCAAAGTGTGACATGACTATTTCAAAACACAGTATCCTTTTAAAAAAGTTAAATAAAAACAAGCAGCAAGAGGCTGAAAACAAAAGTATTACTTAGCGTTTGTTAAATAGGCTGTTTTAATACTGTATTTCCAGCCTCAGAATAAATTTCCTCACAAATATGTAACTGTGAGAATAGCATAGAGAAACCAGACAAAATAACCCCAACTTGGGGGGAGATGGCCCTAAAGTAAGGGGATTAACTTCTTAGCGTAAAGTTTCCTTATGTGCGAGTCACAACTGCCCACTAGAGCGAGAAATAATTTGCAAGACCTTAGCCAAACTGTGTGTCATCACTGGCATTAAATCACCAAACTGCATAAAATACGGCTCCTTATCGCTAGGGCAGGGAGGGACCCCGTGATTTTCGGCCAGGTAACGCTATGCCCAGGAGCGGGGCCGCAGCAGCGAGCAGCTGGGTCCGCTGTCGAAGGGGACATTCTCCGCATGTTTTCGGAGGCAGAACACCCCAGCCCGTGACTCATCCCTCCGTACTTGCAAGAGAATAATTTTTCCTCTATAAAGAAATGGTGCTCGCTCTCTGCGGATTTATTCATTCAACTCAGGTTTTCAAAACTAATGTCACGGGTTCGGTTTTTGTTTTTAATTCCAACTAGGAGGGTGAGTAAGCAAGTGACCGCAGCTGGTAATTTGCAAAGAGGATTATTTTACCTTGAGAAAGGTGATGTGTGTGGCTTCCCCCCCCCTTTTTTTTTTTGCTGCTGCTGCTATTACACATTTTAATGTTTTCAAGCTAAAAAGAGCAAGAGGCATCAGAAAACAATCCAGCGAGAAGGAGATCCAGGTTTCAGCTTACAAAAACAAGGGGAGTTTTTTTTTTTTTTTTGGTACACTGGATTTTGTGCGGAATTACATAAACAGCGGTATTTTTAAGTCAGTTTTTCGCAGACAGAAAAGGGGGAAAATAGCGACTCAGTTTGCAAAGGGAGGGAGAGAAGGTCTGCACGGTCCACCTCCAGTCTTCCTCGCTATTATCGCTAGTATTTATCCAGTTTTCACCAAAAAAAAAAAAAAAACCTTGCCAACACCACCCGTTCCATTTTAAAAGAAAACAGACTGGCTCGTCACTCAGCCCCTGAGTCAGGCTGTTTAAAGAGGGATTA